AAATGGAAGGTTTCAAGGGTTCTGGCTAAGGCGGCTTGTTGACCGATCTGGTAGTGTGCGAACATTGAGTGCAGCTAAGTGTAAAGGAGATTTTGGTTTTGAATTTCTGATAGCCTCTGAGTGGTTTACCTCATTAGTTGAACGCTGAGTGCTATTCCACAGGTGGCGCGAACCGCATGTATCTCCTAAGGTTTGGGAGTGAGAGGAAGTGGATAGACAAGAAACATGATTTTTCAAATGGGTACCTAAGACTTTGGGGCACGGCATATTTCGCGTTAGCCCACACCGACAAATGGGTTTTTCTTTGGGAACCCTAACCGGAGCCTTTGACTCAAAAGTCTGACCCACAAGGCAGTGGAGCGTAAATCCAACACGGGAGCGTGAACGGAGCACCTGTATGGGAGCTTCTAGAGACTTGTCACGCAAGGCCTTTGAATTTCGAATAATTGTGTTGTTCGCTGCTGCTTTGATTATCGGTCCGCTTTTCGTATCAGCCCTCAGCCTCATGCACCCAATGAGACAAGCGGAACGTGGACGGGACAGCACCTTATTGACTGGGGGCTGCCCCGCTTGGGCGAGCGTCAGCTGTCCAGTGAAGTGCGAAGACTTCTCCCACCGTCGAGAGGAAGCCCCAGGTACCCCGCTCCTACGTCCATCTAGAGGGTTTTTTGATGGGTAAACTTCCCCGTGTTTATTTGCTGGAGTGACCTCTCCAGGGTTGAGTGTGGATAGAAGAAAGAAGCTACGTGGAAAGGAGATGTAATCATCGGCTAGGTGTGGAAACAGCCGGCATTTCTTGCAGCTCATCCGTGCTACAGGCCCAAAAATAGAGTGCGTTAGTGAAACAATCTGCGAAGTAGTCGACACGCTAATTAACAGCCTTCTTTGGCGATTGGAACGCTGGACGGAGCACTTCACATCGCATTTCAACCAGCCTCCCGCGCTGCCTGCCCCAAGCTGCTCTCTTGAGAGTGTACCCTGGTCACTATCCACGAGACCGCCCACAGAAGCGGAGATCCGAAAGGAACTCCAAGCCGTGAAACGCCACAAAGCAGCTAGATCAGATGGCCTGCTACCTGCCCTCTTTAAAGATGGTGGAGATGCTCTCATAACAGAACTTGTGAGACTGCTCTCTGGGAAACTGAAAGTGTACCCCACATGGGGAGAATCACTTGTCTACAAGAAGGGCTGTCGCAACGCCTATTCCAACCACAGGGGCATAAGTCTGATTCCAATAGCGCTGAATCTGCTGGCGTCCGTTTTATTACGCAGGTTATGCTCATTCCGTGAGCAGCAAATCCGCGAGGAGCAGGCCGGGTTTCGTGCACGCCGTGGATTCATAGATCAAATCTTCATCCTCCGTCAGCTAATAGAACACCACCACGCATACAGACGGCAAACCATTGTTGTGTTTTTGGACATCAAAGCGGCTTTCGACTCTATTGATCTCGCCGCACTATGGAACTGTTTGCGGAGATACCGAGTACCCGAAAAGTATGCCTCACTCCTAAAAGCGCTCTGTCACCAGACCTCGGGAAAGGTTAGGGCCTATGGTGAATTTTCACCCTCATTTCCTGTCACCAGTGGGGTTGCTCTATCTCTCAGTTTCGCTTCAATTTTACGATAGATGTCCAACAAAACGCGTTACATAACATAACGAACGCTGGCGTCTTCCTGGGGACGGAGTCGTAGACTTGTAGTATGCCGATGATATTGCCTTACTGAGTGACAACGATTCAAGAGTCGTTGAACCGTTTGACAATTGAGTTTACTCGCTATGGTATGTCATTTGCACCTTCAAGGTGCAAAGTGTTGTTGCAAGATTGACAGAAACCCATTCCTCCACTTTCGTTGGGTAATGACACTCTGGAAGTAGTCTAAAGCTTTGTCTACCTGGGGAGTTGCATAACGATTGGCGGAGGGGTGGGTGAGGAGATTTCTCAATGCGTGATCAAAGCTAGATTAGCGTTTACTAATCTGCAGCATCTCTGGCACCGGCGCGACATCCCTTTCATTGAAAGGGAGTGTGTATTGCGCAACGGTACGCACCGTGTTGCTCCATGCCTGTGAGACCTGGCCTCACCAAGCAGATCACGTCCAGCAACTATCAGTCTTCGACAACCGTTGTCTGCGTGACATCGCCCGCGTATGATGGGAGCATCGCGTGAATAACGATGAAGTCAGACTTTGGGTGCTAGGATCAAATAGTCCTCTTTTGAGCAAAATAATTCCACAGCATCTTCTTAGGTAGCTAGGGCACGTCCTACGAATGGCTGAGCACCGTCTGCCACACCGTG